CGATCTATGATTAACAATGAATATTCTCAAATATAAAAGATATGAATGTGTTTCATAAATATTTTTCTTCATCAATTGTAATTAAAGCATGAGATCGATGAGATGAGGCTGAGAGAGAAGGAAAACTCTAGTAAAAGGCTCAGGAAAGTCGATAATGACAATGTGATCTTACGCTATTCTTCACTTTCCTTCTCAGCAGACAAGAATCTCTGAAAATGCCCTCATTGTGATTCTTGTTCGAGTGTTTTCATGTTCACTCAGAAAAATACAAAAAAATCAGTAATTTTCATTATAAAACTTGCGTAAAGATCTTTCACCAGGTAACGCTTGCATCTGACAAATATTGAAAAATTTTCGCCGATAATATTGTGTAAAACGACTTTATTTATGCGTAATGTGTATTAAAAATATCCCAAAAAAAGTTACCTTTTTACGTATCTTCACTCAATTTTTATGATAAAATGGCTGGTTTTGGTATTTTATGAATGGACTTGAGCACATTTAAACGAGAACCTCAATTAGGGCGCCTGTCATGCTCTAAGTGTTTCTGTTTCTTTAAGTTCTCATGTGCCCTTGAAATAAGACTTCTATTTGATACGGTCAAAATCAGAATTTCAATTTTGATTAAGCATATTTGATCTATCAGTTTCTGTTAAAAAATTCGTTCTCTATTCATTATACTTTCTAATATGTCATACACCAGATGAGACAAATTGGAAATGAGCAAGATTTCTATGATTTACGATTGCTGCATAATAGTCGTAAACATTTTTACGAATATTTTTGCATCGTAGATTCATTCATATATGAAATTCATAATTATTACGTAGATATAAGAGTCAACATGAATTTTATAATGATAATTATTTATTTTATTTTAGTAAAAAATATGTAGTAAATGAGATCAATAATTGATTCATATATGTTGTATTTTATCAGAACTCAATAGTTTTACACGTTTTCATGATGCGACATTACATGAAACCTAATAGAAAAATTTTTTTTGCTTTTATTTGTGTTAAATCTTTAGTACTATGTATACGACCATCATCAAAATGATAAACATAAGTATGAAATACAATAACTCACCAGGGCCTGTAACATAACCGATATCAATAAATATAAAACTAACACAACCTGTGCCCACCATCTACATCATTAAAACTATTAAGTTTTAATAAAATACAAGAAATATGAATCAATTATTGATTTCAGTCACTACGTATTGTTGCTAAAATAACATTTATGATTATAGTTATTATGTGTTTAGTGCATAGCAACGAAACTACTAAATCTAAATGCTTTATTGACTTAACAATAATAGATACTTAGAAGATATAAAACTTGAAATGAGACTTCTGATTTTTATTAGTAATAAGTTCTTCTGTTAAAACCTTTTTCGAACTTAGATTTTTTTGAATAATTAATAAATTTTAACTAATCAATCAATATTAATAAAGAATAAATTATTTCAAGATGAAGTTAACACTACTGCTAGTATCTGCTCCTATTATTCTTTGTTTATGACAGAAACTGTATTTGTAATTGTTGATAATGAATATCAATCACAAACAATTGTTTAGTTTCTTAATAATCAACTTAAAATTAGTTCAATTATTTTTCTTTGACGTCATCACGCAAAAAATACCAAACAATTCATAGGGTTCACAGATTTAATTGCAACTAAAAACAACAACTCTAGAAAACTTTTCAAACATGTATCGATCTTGAATAAATTTACTTATCAACGAGAACTTGAAATTTATTTACAGAAAGATCTTCAATCATTCATCATGTTTTTTCAATCTTCAGTACTGGATATAATGATGAATGTAATACACATGTTCTCCATGGAAAGCCTATTGACATAGTTTGATAATGAATATGTAATATAAAAATTCATATACTAATCCTTATAAAAAGATTATTGCAACAAGAAGGATTAATAATCCTTTAACAATGTGTGAAACATCATCGTTAATTTATTTTTCTTTCATTTTGATGTTAGGAAAGATTTATTTAGATTGTAAGTTTTTAGCTGTAAAGAATGTTGTATTTAACAATCAATTTTTTACTGTTAAACCAATTTCATACACGTTGAACTGTAATCTAACCTATCAGAAAATCCAAAAATTCCTACAAAAATTGTAGAATACAGTTCAATTAGTGTTATCATATGAAGAAAAAATATACAATGGAAGAAGCGAATAAGCAGAAGAGGAATACACAGAGATGTCCTAAGTTGATCAAGACTAGGTGATACATTGATATTTTCTCTCAAATAGATTACTCTTAGTTGTTTTTCGCTATTTTTGATGCAAGAAAGTTGTTTAGTTTAATTAACATCCTGCACGATTGAAAAAATCTCGGTTTAACTTTCTTTTTTTTTGTAAGAATAAAAGATTCACAACACTTTTAACGCCGAATATATTCGCGTTTCGACTAATTGATTCAAATTATGCTTTCCAAAAAACAAAATAAATCAAAATTTTCTTGAATTAACGTTCAAGTATTTAAGCACTACTTAGACTTATGCAATTTACACTACTTTCCACTGTGAAATTTTTTTGTGGACTGATTAAAAATTTCATTATCTCATGTTATTTCATTCGAAGAACTTAATTATCTTTAAATGATAATTACATTACTTTTTAAAAACATCTTCCACCAAAGGTGGCTATGCTCAAACAGGAAGCACTATTCACAATAATAAACAATTTGCCATTATTGCCGAGTCATACCCCGCTGTAAATTCTACCTTTGGAAAATCAAGAACACCCACTCAAAATTTACTTTAAACATTTTCTCACAGTGTGGTCAAAGAAATTCTATTGCATCTCGTTATTGAGTAATGAGTAAATTTTCAAATAGAAAACAGCATGAAATTTATATTACGACATTGTTTAAGATGACACTGGAAAAAACTAACTGCAGAGTTCTAACTATTTTTTCAGACCAATGTTCGTATTCACTTCATCTGCAGACCCAAGACATAATCTCTTTGACGTATTTTTATCAGTAATATCTCGAATTTCTTATAACGAGCATTTCATATGTTTTCATAAAACAGTGCTATTACAATTCCATAAAACTTGTTTACATTCGACACTAATTATTTTTACATTCAAATTTTACTGATATATTGTTAAGTAAAGTAATCTTTTAATATTTTTTAGCAAGTTTGTAAAGAATCCAATGGCAAATTCAAAGAAAAAAAAAACAACTCAATACAATAGAATACAGAAAAGAAAACCATGCATCGCAACATCTCGGTAAACTACGTAGAAGACGCTCTTTTTTAAACGATTCTTACACGGAGATCCTGACAGAGTCTGCGATTCGTGGATAATACATATCATTCAGAGACAAGTTTCTTCTAACATAGTCATTTCGATTCATTTTTACAGAACACAGTTTACTACCATTTGAAGAATTGCTCTTTATTCAATAACAAGACGTGATAGGATTTTTTTGAGCACATAGTTCAATAGAGCGTTTAGTGTAGATTATGAATAGGTATTGTTGATATTTCTTCTAGGAGTTTCCTTTAGCTAATAGATACTGCAGCTATATGTTTGCATCGTACGTTACTTATAAAAATTAATTTAAGAAAATTTTTGTTAATAAAGTCTATCAAGATTCTCGTCAATGAACAAACTCGATACACTTTAGTACTAATATTTTCGCAAGGGTAGTATTTATTCATGTGTATAATCATATGCCAATATATGATGAAAAGAACAACGATACTAATTTATATTTCATTCCGATATTCATAGTCATCAAGTAAGCTATACTTGATTGAGTGCCAGCACTTGAATATAATTCAATATATTAATTCTTCTTTTACTTTTCGTTGAGGAAAATCATTGTTCGAAATCAAATAAAACACAAAGAAGGAATATTGAATGACGCTGTACGAAAATACTTAATAAAAAATCAATTTTTTCATTTCGTATATTTAGTAGAAAAAAAATATATGAATAATTGCTCTTAAAATTTTCTCTCTTTTAATTTTGTTTGAATGATTTTCTTGTTATAATGTCATAAATAAAGATTATGGAATTTGAATGAGTAGAGCTGAAAGACATTGCCACAGAATCGAAACTGTAAGTATGTAGATTTCTATAAAAAGGAAGATAAAATAAGAAAAGTTCTTTATACAATAAACTCAAAGAAAATATGATTATATTGAATAACTAACTCTTTTCTTCGTCTATTCATAATCATGTATTTTTTTCTAATCAATTATAAAAATTATGCATTTAATATGTTTTTGATGTATTAATATGAAAGTCTTTTATGACGCAGAATGCAATCTAGAATTACTTGACGTCACAATCTTGGACACCATGTACTAATAATTTAGTTAATTATCGTCTATATTTTCTTTAATAGCAAATTCAAACATAATTTTATCTAATTCAAAATGAAACAATATAATTTTTCATAAATATTACAATTATAAAATATTATTTTATTTGTAATTAATCTCGTTATCCTGTCATGTAAAATAGCGGCATCTGATCTGTTATAATTGTTAGTAAACTATGCTCATAAGTCATAGTTACCTAACAGAATATGGTAGACAAAAATAAAGGTGGAAAGAGAAAATGTTGTTTTTTCTTTCCTGCTTTGAAATTCAAGAAAAAAAGAATATGAAAGAAAAGTAGAAAACATCCAACAGTTGGATCCATGCTATAGAGAAAAAGCACACTTGCGTCGTCATTTTATGACAATTGCGTGTCATAAAGCGAAGAAAAAAAAATTCTTTTCTTTCCTTTTAATGACGGATCATGAAAACTATTCAACAATAAGACATAAATTTTGGTCGTTAAGTGTACTATTGGATGCGTTGACAAAACAAAAAAAAAAAACTGTTGATCTTAACGCAAACAAGAGATAATACATTTTCAAATAAAAGACAAAATACTTTAGACAATACTAGTTGCGTTCTTATTCCAGTTTATAGATAAAATAGGTAGTATATTTTTGTATGGATGGCTGTGATAAGTTTTGGTTCCGCAAGTACATTAGAAACTGGTCAACGTCGTAGAAATGCATGTTCATTACCTTTACATTATATACAAATATTAGGAATAATTGTTATCATATTTCTTATTTTAATGAACTATCTAACATTATGTGTTAATATTCCAACACATCATTGGCAATGGTTAAGTATTGTTATATCATCAATAATTATTCTTCCATTTTTAATTGCTTTCATTATCATAACATTTTTGGATCCAGCTGAAGATGCAGTAATAAATCAAAGTCGTGGGCCGAAAGCTAATTTTGATCGTCGTGTTCATGAACATGTTATAACAAATCTTTATTGTAATATATGTGAAGTACATGTTACAGCTAATGCAAAACATTGTTCATCATGTAATAAATGTATTTATTCATTTGATCATCATTGTATCTGGCTCAATACATGTGTAGGAGGAAAAAATTATCGTCTATTTTTTTCGATGTTAATATTAATTGTTGTTGGAACATTATTTATATTCATAAATAGTTTACTTCAATTTATTGGTTCATTTCAAGATACATCTTCAAAATTAAGTTTAACACCCTACTATAGTTTTGGTAAATATAAAATGTTTCAGATGAATTCTATTTTTGTTTTCTTTTTCGATATGAAAAGATCAGACAATTATTTTTCTATTGAATTACATTTAAGTAACGTGATCGATTAAATGATTTAATAGAACTATCATTACCAAATAGAAATACTCTTGATATTGTTTTTCATCATGAATTTTATGATAGGAACACTCATCAATATGAGAGATGTTATTATTAAACGTATATTTTGTCAGAATAAATAGAAATCATTAATGCTCAATAGATTCAATATTATCTAATGTAAAGTGTAAGCAAAATTCTTTTGTACAAGTAAATCCAACAACGTAAACATTGAATAAGAAAAGCAAAGTATTGACATAAGTAAATCGAAATATAGATTATTACAATATAAACAATTCTTTATTCATCAATAGTGTTCATTGAAAATAAAGAGAGAGAGAGAGAAATGTGTTTTTATTTGAATCAGACTAAAAGATTATTTAAGCTTCACTCATTTGAGAACGAAAAATAAATAAACAAAATTGAATTATTTTTCATAGATTATGTTGATCAGTATTTCAAATAGTCATGAAAACAACAAAACTTTCAAGGTTGACGAGAAGTTTTTCATACATCATATTTCTATATCTTAGAACTTTTCATGAAAGATATATCTGTTAGATTCTATTAAATTCTGTGAGAAGGATGGCTTAGTATTACTGATGAAATCCGATAGTTTCTGAAAACTATGATACGGAACATAATAAAATTACTTCATGAACTGAAAATATTTTTCTACACTATTCTATTTTGTAAATAAACAAAAGTTGTAATATTAACAGGTATTTCAGAATGAAAGCGTATTTGTACATGCTAAGGATATTTCTTAAAATATTCATTGATTCCGACATAACTCTCATAATTCTCTGTAAAATAGTATATTTTTATTAAGATAAATAATCTCAATTTGTTTGGAAGGCATGCTTCAAACAGATAGTCAAAGATAAAAAATGACTCTAAAGAGACTTTTTGCCGAGTTTCTTTGATGACATATTTTAATGGTTTAATAAAAAATATCTTTTGATGTAACTTTTTTTTGTAAATGTTAATAGTAACAAATCTCTTCAAGATGAGTTCAAGATTAAAATGTGTACTATTCGATAGTAGGAGAAATTTCTTGTAACATCATTGTTCAGTCAATTGTTCAGTATGAAATTGTGTACTTCCGAAGATTTTTCTTTCTATATTTTGTGTTAGTCAAAGACAATTCTGAATTTATTAAGTGTATCAATTGTTCCTAGATCAAAATGACCACCAATGCTAAATAATAGAACAGTGCGTAATGTCATATCCATCAATTAACATAAACATAATGCTAAAGCAATTTTTATGACTAACATTTGAAAAAAGTCATATCAAAAGATACTATTATTAAACCAATGGTGTAGCCAGCCGTGAACCATTTCGCAATCACCCAATGATCAACAACTTATTGCCTACAGACTTCATGTACTAATAAAAATTAGACCATGGGTTGAACGGTGACTACCTACAGATTTTGTCTAAAGCGGTAATAGTTGTCTATATCTCAAAAATTCTAGCTACGCCATTGCACTAAACTAATGAAACACGTTATTAACATGAATAAAAAATAAACAATTTTTTTAGAAAATTAAAAATTGAAATCCGAACCAATGAACGTTATAAGAGATATCATTAACCCTTTCCGGTCGGCTAGTTGAAAAATGCTGTATCCTTATAGGGAAAAATGTTGCCATATGGCAACATCCGGCCGGAAAGGGTTAAAATACATAAAAGTTTATTTTCTTGAAACTTCCGTTGATATGATCGATTCGATGAAATAGGCTTGTATGAAAAATACGTCGTAATATGTCGACGAAATTTAATATCCTTGAAAATAAATTATATTAAATATTTTATTTTCAATTAGATCAATATGCTGTACTAATGATTTCTTCATCAAAAGTTGCATTTCAAGTTCTATCAGCCATTGTTTCATTTATCTCTCTCGTTACTTGTGGAATGACTGGATATCTTCTTGCTTTTCATATTTATTTATGTAAGTTAATAAAAATAAGAAAGCAAAATTTATGTCTACTATTAATATATTCTTTCTTTTCTAAGGTTATAAGCATACAACAACATATGATTTTGTCATTAGTCGACGGCATAATCGTACAGTTGATGAAACTATATTACAATTTAATCAATTAGGTCGAAATCCGAATAGTATATCAACAGAAACAACAGGACAATCGACGAATTTATCAAGATTTTTTCCTCTAAAGGTTTATTTCATATGTGAATAAATTATTTATTTTAAATCAATTGTTTTTCTTTTAATATTTTAGAGAAAAAAGAATAATCGAGTCGCAACTACACAAGCAAATGGTCATAATATATCTAATGATTCAAATCGTAATCAAAATGGACAGGTTTTTACAATTGAAGGACATAATGTATGAAAAAAACAACCTTATATATAATAAACCAAACCTATTTATCAATTATTAAAATATATCTAGAGAGATAATCCACGACAGTTACAAGTACGTCAAAGTACAAATCGAGAATCGTGTGTTTATAATAGCTCATATGAAGGAGCCGATGAACAAAATCAAGAGTAATCATTCTCTTCAAAAAAAAAATTATCAAATGCGTTAAACAATCATCTATTGTGACAGTGATGTATTATTGTGACAATCAATATTTTCTTTATTTTCGTTGTTTTTTTAAATACTACTGTATTGGTTATTTATTTTGAGAAACTAAAAAAGAAAAAGAAGATAGATGTTATTTTAAAATTAAATGAATAATAAAAAATAGAAAGAAAAAACAAAATTTTTTCTTCTTGTATTTTTATAGATGTCACATAATCAATTAGTTCTCTTAGATGCTATTGAAAAAGGACACACTTCAATCGTACTTAAACTTCTACGAAATCATGTTGATTTGAATATCAAAGATATTTATGGAAGAACACCATTAATGATTGTTTGTTGGCTTTTATTATTTCGATGTGAAATAGAAAAAAAAGAAATTTTGATTTAATTATTTTAGGCAGCTAAGAATGGTCGAAGTGATATTGTTAAAATTTTATTAGAACATATAGGAACAAAAGATATTGAAGTCGATCATGGTGGAAAGACAGCATTACATTATGCAGCTGAAAATTCAGAATTATCTGTAAGTAACGAGTGACACAAACTAAATGGTACGAAATATTTTCTTCTTTACAGAACACTTCTCAATAAGAAATGAGCGGTAACCAAAAAAATAGAACTTTATCGGGACTAAAAGCAGAAATAAAAAATTTATCGAAACCTAAAAAACCTTGTTCTAACACATCACTATTTCTAACATGTTAAAGACTTTATTTAAGGTTCATTCAATAGAGAATTTCCTACGTTACAAAACTATAGTCTTTGTTTTTCAAATAGTTTTTTTTTGTTAGCAAAAAGTTTAAAAAAATGAGCATCTACTCAATAGTCTAACTGCGATTTCCAAGTTTCTGCAGGCATCTATCGATTTATGCCAGAATCGATGCGAAAGCTTATGCATTTAGCATTACTGGATAAAGATTTTCGTGCTCTCTGCTTCCACTACACTTTGAAGATTTCTGTTGTTGTTGTTGTTGTTGTTCGGAAGAAAAACGCTTTGATTTCTCATATCGTCACATCTAGAGTTTAATTTTGAACAAAATTTTTCTCGCATATATTTCTTCTAAAATCCTGAAATAGATATTACAAAATACAGAATTTTGTGAAGACCTTTATAGCATATATAGAATTTCAGTGAAGCATGTTTGAAAAGCTTTTTCATTCTTTGTTAGTCACTGTTAGAGATTGAATACATGTTCATGTGTTAAAACTTATAATTAAAAAAAAACATGTTATTTGAATAGCAAGGATGTTAGTTGCCTAGGGCAGAAAATTCTCTATTGAATGAACCTAAAATGTATGTAGAAGTGCCTTGAAAAGAGAAGAACATATTGTCTCGTTTATTATGCGATATCCGTTATAATTAATTTTGTTTGAAGAAAAAAACAAAAAAGCTGAATAAAATAAATTATTATAGGCAGTAAAAATTCTGTCCAAACATCAAGCAGCATCGACAATCATGACAACAACACAAACAAAACTTTTACCACTTGATTATGTTCTGGATAATGATGATATTTATCCATCATTGAATAAATATACTCAAGGTGGACAAGTGAGTGCAGGTGAAACGGATGATGATGATGATAATGTACCAAAAGCTGGAATTTATATAAAAACGAAAAAGAAAAGTAGTGGTAAGAAGAAGAAAGGTGGCAAAAAATCTGATTCAAAAAAGAAAAAGAAAGGTGGAAAAAATAAAAAATAAACATTAAAGTTTTATTTATGAATACTTGTATTATCTCTACTATTTTTAGTAATTTTTTTATTAAATATTTATTTCCATAGTTTTTTATTTTGTTTTAATCTATAAATAGAATAAGAAATGGATGAATGCATGCAATTAAATCGTAAATTTTAATAACGCAACAATGGGTAAATACATGAGAAAAGTCGTTTCAGTGCTTTGATTGTTAGAATATTCTCATACAACTTTCAGTCCAATTCAACAATTCACTAACATTCGATTAACATTTTACATTTAAGACTTAAAGAAAATTCCATTCCAATGTCTCGTCCTGTTTGTATGAATAATTTAAAAAAAGTGTCTTGTTAAACATAATGAAGCATATGCAAAACTAGACAATTCTATTAGGAAACAGTAAATTAATATATATGACTTCAAGAAAACATTAAGAGAATATCATATTGTAATTTATTTGCCATCAAAGACAAATCATATAAATCAAACAGCAAACAAAAAGGGAAGTCTATATAAATTGAACATGAAATGGAAGTTAGTTGATTATATTCTATCATTATTCTTGAAAAACAATTAAGCTAATCCACTCGTATTTGATAGAGGCTGAAATAAGAAAAAAGCTATAGTTTTTCCACTCTACTTTTCTTTTTGCCTGAAGTTTAATTACTTTTTTTTTTATTATTGGCCCGCTCTGACCTTAATTCTTTTTGCTTCTTTGATTTTGTCCGGAAAATGACTTTTCCGCTCGAAGCATAATTATCCATTTTCTCTCTCTTGTCCAATCTGTATAAGACACTTGTTGAATGAAAAAGTGAAAATGCTCATGAGAATATTAATTAAGAAAAAGTTCAATAGTAAATAAATCAATATTTATTAATCAATTTTCAATGGCGATCAACATTTCTGAAGAGTTCATTCATGAAAAACCATATTTTGTTGGTTTATTTACAATAAATGTTCGAGACTATTCCACAATATTCGATACGAAGTTTAATCTTTTTTCATATGCAACAAGAATTATAGGATACATATTCTTGGTTGTTCGTATGAATATACTTGTTAATAATGCTCTGTAGAATTTGTAGAAACTCAGCAGTTGTGTACATCTTTAGTTTGATATTAACATTGACTATGAAGCACACAGTTACTATCTGCATATGGAGTCAGCAACAGTAAAATATTAGTATATAGTATTTTTTACAATATTTAAGGTTCTGGAAAAATAGTTTAACAGCAACATATTTTTGCTTTATTTTTCTCTAATGTCAAGCAATTTGCTTAAATTCAAATAGTGGTTTTATTACTCAATGGAATATTCTATGTTCTACATTTCATAACAAGATGTCACAACACAAGATTTCTAAAAAAAAACTTGAAAACAGTAATTTCAGGTTCTAGAAAGTATTTTTTAACAATGTTATTTTAAAGAAAACAAAATGAGAAAATGGCGTATTTTGTACGACACCATCTCAAACAGTTAAAAGTAGCACAAGAACTGTAAAAAAAAGAAATTTATCAAAAAGTCGATTAACAAAATAACTTCTTTCAATTTTTGTTATAGTTATAAATTTTTAAGAGAAGATCGTAGAAAATGCAGTGATTACTCATTTCGTTCTCTTTAAAATGGTATTGTTAACTCATCATAGTTCATCAATGAAATGTTATTATCAATCATAGGCGGTGGAACCTAGAGGCTAGGTAAGACATGAGCCTCATCCAAATTATGAATTCTATATTTTTTTTGTACAATGGTTTAGACTTATCTTATCAGTTGAATATTATTTCAGTTCGAAGAATCAAACTTCTAATACGTTTATTTATATGTTGTAATAAAGATAACTAAGAAATTCAGACAATAATAAACTCACTCACTATGTTCTTATGGTTTACAGTGACACCTTCTATCTCATTTACATAAAGTGGTATGTGTACTAGGCCAACTGTAGAATTATGCGATCGAAAGACATAAAAACTAGCTATATTTGAGTGCCCTGTCATTCTCTTTAACGTATTCAGTGAATCTACAGTAATTGTTTAAAATGTCAGCAAATATATCAACTAAAATTCAGTGTGAAACGAGTTTATTTGCATACTTATCTGAATGTGTAGCTCTCTTATTTTTGAATGCCTTGGCATTATCATTGAACTAGTGCGTTAGAAGATTATTATATTAGTCTTGCTAAGCGAAATGTGATTTCATGTTTACATGGAAATCAAACAGATAAACAGTACTTTCTTTTGATCATAGTCATAAAATCAATAATTTAGATTATAAACAGTAAGAGTATGAAAACGATGTGCAGATCGATTTTGGAATATTTTACTAAAAAAGTAAAAAGTATAACAACATTTGTATTTATAGAAGAAATTGCTTTAACCGATCTTTCAACAAGTTCTCGAGACGAAGCTCGTGAAGCATCTTCTGTACCTCAAATTACTCCTCTTGTTAATCCATTAAATAGTATTCATATTAAAATTGTCAAACAAAAAAGAGAAGGTTTTCTTAGTTTAATGTTTTAATATGAAATATTTAGTTCTTGTTTTTTTTGAAATTTTCGTCCGTCTATAAAGATTTAGAAATTCTGCCAGTAAAGAACAGAATAAGTTAGCACAATAACTTTTCGATAGAAAAACAATTAAATAGTCTGAAACGATTTATTATCTGAAATTCGCTCCGATTACCTCATGCTGATATGTGATATATCATTTTAGGATAGCGAATAAACTTCCATTGAGCCTCACCCAATTTCAAAACGTTCCGTCGCCCCTGTTATCAATTCCATCAGATAGAAAACTCCATTGGCTATTTAAATCACTCCCTGGATTTGAACTAATATTGTACTTAATGCTTAGAATTATAAATGAAACATCCATCAAACAAAGACGTATGCTTGCCAAAAACTGCTATGCAATCTATTAGGGTACTGTGAATATCTCATACATTAGGTTTTATTATTAATTATCTCAAAAAGGAAAATAAATTTAGGTTTTCATCCTCACATTCATTTTTTAACGTTTTTTCCATGTTTTTAGTTATTCAGCTTGATCCAAGATGGACGAGACAACTTAGGAGTTGATTGAAAGAATGAAACTTTGCTTCGAACATTTGCTGTATACCAATCAATAGATTGGTCAAATAGCAAGAAGTTTTTAATTTTCTGAAATAAAATTTAGTAAGGCAACAATATCTGCTCTGAGTATTTAGATCGATTATTCAGTATATATCTTCTCCGTACTTGATATTTACAGGTATATGTTAACTCCGTTTCATCAAAAAAGGTTATGTCAAATTTCGAACTCTAGCATTAAGAGAATTTTCTAAAAAAGTTTTTTTTTTTTTATTGATATTTGCTGTGTAAGCTAGAGAAGAAGTGGTCAGAAAAAGTTTACTAACATTGGTCTGAAATAAGGGTACTTGTAGTGTGTTCTAAGAACATCTAAATCAAAATCTCATAAGTGACTTCAAGTTTTTGAGCTCGTATTTTTATTCATAAGTGTAGTTCCACTAGATTAGTACAGCCTTCAAAGCATTCTTCCTTTTATTAAGGTTTAATCAAGATATGTATGTTATCCGTAAATATAGCTGATTATAGAACTCAAATGATAAGCTACGAAATTATAGGTCTCCACTAAATCATTTACCTTCGAAATAAATAATACATTCGTTCAAATTTTGCTGAAACGTTTCGAATTGTAATCACACTTTTATTGAAGATATAAAATAACTCCTATGAAGATGTCGCTTGTATTCGAGATAACTTTGTACTGCTTCTGTATGGCTGAAAAAAAAAAGAAACAGGAAAATATTTAGTGAATCATATTCACTCTCCTTCGAATCGTACTCCCGTCATAATCACTTCACATTATAGTTAAGTAAACTGTAAGCAAGTGATAAGATAATGTAACCAATGTTTTACAATTATTAACAAAAAAATTGTTTTTTTTTTGTCATTTAAACTTTCTTTTTTTTTTTCAGATAATTATTAAAAATGACGGGGCGACTTCCAGCCTGCGTCATTGATAATGGAACAGGTTATACTAAATTAGGTTATGCTGGTAATAATGAACCACATTTCATCATTCCATCAGGTAAACTAAAAATAAAAAAAAAATATGATTTTATATCATTCGAACAAAAAATTTTTCTAGCTATTGCTGTTCGAGAGCGTCCAGGTGGTAGTCGAATTGGACAATCTGGAGAGGATTTAGATTTTTCTATTGGTGATGAAGCATTTAATGCTAAAGGTAAGAAAGAAAAAAATAAAACAACTAGATCTTATGTTTTGTTAAATATTAATTTATCTTTAGGTTATTCTGTAAAATATCCAATTCGACATGGTATTGTTGAAGATTGGGATCTTATGGAAAAATATTGGGAACATTGTTTATTTAAATATCTTCGTTGTGATCCTGGTTCGTAAAAAAAAAGAAGTTTTCTTTTCATTGTTTATTGTTTTTGTTTTATTTACTCATAATAGAAGATCACCATTTCCTTTTGGTAAGATATTTAATTTAATATGATAAACAAATAAAATGACTTTTTTGTTTTCATAGACTGAACCACCATTAAATACACCCGAAAATCGTGAATATACAGCAGAGATTATGTTCGAATTATTTAATGTACCTGGTTTATATATTGCTTTACAAGTAAGTTAAATATATCGTTCAATTTGAAAACATTAAGTTATATTTTAAGGCTACACTTGCGTTATATGCATCATGGATTGCAAGTGATGTTAAGAATATGCTTACTGGTCTTGTTGTTGATTCAGGAGATGGTGTTACTCATGTTGTTCCTGTAGCTGATGGTTATCTTATAGGTATGTGTATAATTACTTTATTTTTAAAATTTTAATTTATTGTCGTTTGTTTTACAGGTAGTAGTATCAAACATATTCCAATATCAGGACGTGATATAACATATTTTGTGCAAACATTATTGCGTGAAAGAGAACCAACTATTCCACCCGAACAATCACTTGAAACAGCTAAAGCTATTAAAGTATTATTTTAAATAATATTTTCGTTTTTTTTCAATAGATTTTGTATTTTTTAAGGAACGTTATTGTTATGTCTGTCCTGATATTGCTAAAGAATTTGCAAAATATGATGAAGACCCACGTAAAAACTATCTACAATATACAGGCATTAATTCAGTTACTAAAAAACCATTTAATGTTGATATTGGACATGAACGTTTTCTTGGACCGGAAATATTCTTTCATCCTGAAGTATGATTTTGTTTTTTTTTTTGATAGTAAACATATTACAGATTTGCATCGGAGTCATTTTTAGGAGAAAATCGGAGATGTCTAAATTGCTTCTCAAGAATATGACCATGACTGAGTAGTCTGACACCTATCTACTGAATATCATGTTCAAAGCTTGGTATCATTAGTCATGAAATAATTCTAGACACGGCCACTATTGGTTAATTGTAGCCAGTATATGAAGCTCAAACAATTGAGCACAAAGACTTTGGATCAGGTCGGCCTTCTGCACAGAACTACAACTAGTATTAACTTTAAGAAAGATATCGTTTTATTGGATCTGTCACCAGACCTAGACATATTTTTCCTATCGTAAATTAATTTGAACATTGAAGGGTTTTTTTTGCATGATGAGTGTTATTATTTGAAATTTATTGTACAAATTGATGTATTTTGAACTCAATAGTCTTTACAAAGGTGGGAAAAAAATGAGAATCAAGGTTCACTCTGACTTCTCATCAGCGTAAGTTTCGAACAGACATCCATCGAATTCCCCAATATATTAATTTGCACAGTGACTACTAACGAAAAAAAATTGCCATTCGAAAAATCCTTTTATGTTAAATCTGATTTATCAATGAGACATTTAGTTGGCTTCGATGCAAGTCTCAAAAATCTAGGTAAAGCAATATTATTATTTTCGTTTATTTTAGTTTTCCAATCCAGAATTCAATACATCTTTATCAAAATTAATTGATGATATTATTCAAGATTGTCCAGTTGATGTACGACGTAAACTTTATGGTGTATGTTAAATTATTTATTTAATTGATATTAAAAAGATCATGTCTATTTGATTTTTAGAATATCGTCTTATCCGGTGGTAGTACGATGTTTAAAGGTTTTGATAAACGATTAAAGCGTGATGTACAACGATTGGTTGATGCTCGACTTCGCGAATCTGAAGAGCTTAGTAAACATAAAGTAAAACTTCAGCGAAAAAGAAAATTCTTAATCGATTTATTTATTTTTGTATAGCCTGAGCCAATTGATGTTAAAGTTGTGGCTCATGCAATGCAACGTTACGCTGTTTGGTTTGGTGGTAGTCTAGCTGCAAGCACAGTAAGAAAATTTTTTAACATAATAATTAAATATTATTATTTGTTTTTTTTTTAACAGCCAAATTTCTATGAAGTATGTCATACGCGCAAAGAATATGAAGAAAAAGGTCCAAGCATTTGTCGTTATAATGCCGTATTTAATCTTGTGTGAACATGATTTTTTTTTTGTTATATGCTTTTTTTTTCTCTTGCTCTTCACTTAATACGGAATGAACCTTTTCTGTGTTCTATTCTTCTGCTTTACTGCTTGGTCTTCCGTCTTCTAGATTTATTAAACTTACAAGAGAAAAAAAAGTAGTATCATTTTTTTTTTCTTTTTTTTTTGTGTTTCATTAACGGATGATCTCGCTTATCTTCTTATCACTTCGTTATATTTATACAATTAAAACAAAGCAAACATTTTAAATAAAAATTTAAGCTAATCTTTTGATTTGGAAAAACATATGTTCGTTTGTAATTTTTCATATGGTGTAAGAAATGATTTTTGTTTGAGAATATGTTGAGCTTGATAAAATGGTAACATATATTCAATTGAACAATAACTTGAACCAATGATTGTTGGATAATTAATAAAAACATTTGTTGAATTATTTATTGGTGCAATATTAACAACAAAATTTGATTGAAACTCATTTCCATTGATAAGTGCACGAATAATATGAACTATTAACATTGCTTCTGTCCAATTAGAACGTAATTTAGTACTCAATAGAATGTTTAGTGATTCTTGTAGTTTAGGTTTTGAATGAGGAATAGTTGAATTGGATAAGAGATATTTCATAGCAGTTTTTTGACGTAATATTAAATCAGTAACAATTGGTAATCGACGTCGAACATTTGAATAAACATTTTCATTGTTTTCTAAAAGCTTCTGTATGTCCCAACTTTTGTGGCGTCGTTTTCTTGAAATGATATGATTTTCAACAGTTATAGTTTTTACATGGCTTCCTATTAGCTTCGAATGAATATCTGAATAAGGAATTCCATCAATAGTTATATTATTCATAAGGATTTTAGTACATGAATTATCAATTAATCCATTGCCAATTACAAAAAACCCATTGACATGACCATGGATGTTTTCGGTTTGGTTGAGTATAGTTCTATGTGCATAAGCTGTAAGAATACTTGCACCAAGTCCAAATATTCGTTCGATAGGAAATTTACTAACACGTGATGCAACATAGGTCATTAATTCATTTGGTTGTGTACAAATAATTAATGTAGCATTAGGTGAATAAATACACACTTGTGAAACAATATTTTCCACAAGTAAAGCATTCATTTTTATCCATGTTGATATACTTTCAGTTTCTATAATAGAATTCGCATGAAATCAATACAACGACTGTCATGACTACCCAATTAGTAGATTATATTATATTATTTTATGTATATCTTAAAAATTAGATGAGCTAGAATGATCGAATTTTCGTTGTAGAGTCTTTGGCATAATACTAAAAAACTTCAGGTCACGATTTTTTATTCTTCCAAAATTATCCAACTATTTCTTCTTTTTTGAAATTTTCTGTGCGCTTGTTAAAACTTGAAATTTACTTTATGATGCATGATTCAATGGATCATACTGTACTTCACATAAAGAGTACTATTTATCGGAGTTTTTCTTTAAGTGTAGCTTAAAGAACAAGATTCTTTTGATTTACACCCAAAAATTTTCAACAAGAAGACAATAAATGTTTTTTTTTTCATAGGATGTTCAGTCAACTAATTGTTCAACGTAGCATAAGAAAGAGCACTGAAAATTGCATGAAGTATTCTATTTTCAGTGATAGTTAATATTATCAAATAGCGTTCATCTGTTTCTCTGTGTAGACCAATCACAAAAAGGCTTTCTTACAAGATCTCATTCCCGCATTCAATAATATAGAAAAATTTTTGTTTTTAAAGCAAAGCTTTTTCTGTACAAAAACTCTTATATTTGAAATCAAAACTAACTATGTCATTCAAGTTATATTCCTTTGTTATGTTATCAATAGCACGAATAAAAAGCTTACTGTAGTTTCAGCAACAGACAGTATAAATATCTCATCAAACAAAGATGCGTCAAATGAAATTTAACATAGCACGTTGTTCTACATTTTGTCCTCGATTTACATGGACGTGGCACATAAAACTTAACTGCATATTTAATGCAAACTGTATTTAGGCTCTTGTTGAGATTATGGTAAAGTTTTTACGCCTTCTATTGATAATGTAAAACAGGTATATAAATCAAATGATAGAGTCGGTTTTGATTTCAAACATAAGAGTTTTGTAGAGTATGGGTGTCGGTGAGTCGCATTCAAAGCCTATCTTTGATAAACATATAAATAGGAGGCGACCAACACAATTTTTCAACATAAATTTATCAATGAAAACAAAATATTTTATGCGATTTATCAAACTCTTGTTAATGCTGTGTTGAAAAATTAATTGACTAAATATTCTTTGAAAAGAAAAACCTTTTATCGTTTTGTGTTTAGAAATATTTAGTATAAGCCAAAAAATCCTGTTCTTTAACCTTTAACAACAAAAAAAGGTCCTATGAAAAGCACTCATTATGTAGAACACAATGTGTCCCGTTGAATCATGCATTATAAAGTAAATCCCAATTTAGAACAAGCGTGCAACAGTTTGCAAAAAAATTGGTTGCATGATATCTGAAGAATAAAAAAAAGACATGTTAAAATCGTCTCGTCAATAAAAATAATACAAATACATGGATTGACCTGAAGCTTTTTAGCAGTATGCGAGAAAGTATGAGACAAAAATCCAAATCATTTTAACGCATCTAATTTCTGAGATATACATGAAATATAATAAAAATTATCTACTAATTGAATAATTTTGACAGACATTATAGAAATGAATTTTAAATATCAAACCCAATTGATTATGTTGTACATTGATAATAATAACGGTCGAATCTTTAGTTTCCCAATAAGATTGAACTCTTTCAAGACGTATGTTACATTTGTTAAATAAAGCAATTAATTGAAGATCATTGAGTATAAAACGAGATTCTTGTTGTTCATATATATCAAAGACTTTTATAACTTCAATTGATGTTAATCGTCCATAGGCAAGAAGTGCAGCAATGGCTGAGTAAGTCGTTGTATTAATACCGATAAATGTAAGACGACAGCAACGATATCGAGTTTCAACTGGAGCAACTCGTATAAAAAGACGATTTTTAGTATTAGGCGTTGATGGATTAGGAGGAAAACAAGACGAAGGATGTAGTTTAGTTCGATATTGTGTCATTCATTTTGGCGCTTTTTTAATTAAAATCGATTAATTAATTAGTTGTATGTCTATATAACATTTGTTTCATCTTTTTAAGTAAAGACAGTATCTAGCGACCCCTAGTTAAAAATTTGACATACATATTTTCTATTGGTTTCATATTGTAAATAGATTCACAACAATAAATACAAAGCCTACAAAGGAAGAAAGAAATGAGAGTCGACAAAATAAAGAAACACATTGCTTGCATGTTATTGCATGACAATGTTGCAATTAATTTCTAGTTAAATATTGCTTATATTTCTAGATATTCTATTACAAATTATTTTCTTATTATACATACAATCATGTTCGAAGTATGAATTATACTCTTTATAGAACAATGTAGAATTAAAATTTCATATATTTAGGCTCGTCTTTTACACGGTTCAATTTTTGCTAAAGTTATTGAAGGTCTTCGTGAGCTAGTAAATGAAGCCACATGGGAATGTAGTGGTAATGGTATAACACTTCAAGCTATGGATAGTTCACATGTTGCATTAGTTTCACTTGTCATGAGAAGTGAAGGTTTCGAATCATATCGATGTGATCGAAATATGAGTCTTGGCATAAGTCTTGTTAGGTATATGAAACATTCAAAAATAAAAAAAAAAAAATAATCTAGTCAATTGTTTTTTCTTTCTGACTATCTAGTATGTCAAAAGTACTTAAAACAATGGGTAAAGATGATTCATTAACAATACGTGTTAATGATGATTCTGATTCAATTATAATTTCAATGGAATCCCAAAGTAAAATAATTGTATATTTAATAAATAAAAATCATTGAATTATTTTTTATTAGATCAAGATAAATTTGCTGATTATGAATTACGTTTAATGGATTTAGATAGTGAACATTTAGGTATTCCCGATACAGATTATTCATGTACAATTAAAATGCCTAGTAGTGAATTTTCACGTATTTGTCGTGATATGAGTGTAATGGGTGATTCAGTACTTGTTTGTACAACAAAAGAAGGTGTTAAATTCTCAGCTAAGGGTGATCTTGGTCAAGGTAGATCTTTTTTTTTTCAATATAATTTATTGTAGATTTTAATAAGTTTTTTTTTATTCAAGGTAGTATTCGTCTTGTTCAAACAACGAATATTGAAAAAGAAGAAGAAGCAGTTATTATTGAAATGAAAGAAGCTGTTGCACTTACATTTGCTGTACGATATTTAAGTATGTTTTGTAAGGCAGCACCACTTTCACCTCAAGTTAGTTTGAGTTTATCAGAAGATACACCATTGAGTAAGTTGTTGTTTTTTTTTTATATATACATATTTTGATTTTATTTATTTTGTCTTCAATTAGTGTGTGAATTCAAAATTGCTGAAATGGGTCATGTTCGCTTCTATTTGGCACCGAAGATTGAAGATAATGAAAGTTAAAAAAAAGTCAATTTTGAAAATTTATTATCTTTAAACTTGTCAGATGAATATTATAATAATTATTTTTTTCATGTCCTCTATTTTTTTTTGTTGTCTTGTAATTGTATAAAATGAAACAAAAAAAAGATGTAGTTTTTGTTTGTTTGTTCATATTATGACAAGATTTGAATGTAGTAGAACTATTTTCTTTGTCTTATGAAATCATTTACTTAATACATATAACAATTATTTCTGTTCTTCTCGTATTTTCAGATCTAATAAAATGAGTAATACTGTAAGTTTGTCAAAGAATTCTGTTCGAAAGAATAAAAAACGACTAGATATGTATATATATATATATGTTGATCGTAGGCAACAACAACTGATGCTTTTATCAAACCGCTGAAAGTAAATAAATGGGAAACAAATGCTCTAAAAAATGCACTAGATGATGCATGCAAGAAGGTACATTTAATTCGAATAATCATAAAAATTCAAGTATTTAAATCTAATGTTTTAGTATTTCAAAGAGACTCTGAATTTTGTAGAAGATTACTCATTAGTGGATCGCCGTCTTTATATATCATTATTTGCATGCTTATTCTCAATATTTGCTCTAATTTATGATTGGTTTTATCCATTTCCGAAATCTCGTACAGTTCTGATTGTTTGTGTAATCTCGTAAGAAGTGAAAAAAAAATTATCATATGAAAATTAAAATTTTCTATTTACGTCTAGATATTTTATTCTCATTGGTATTCTTACATTATATATGTACTTTATTGAACGTGGTAGATTTTTTAATGGTAAACTCAGTAAGTGTTCTATTATTGTTTCTTCATAAATGAATTTAAATATTTTTTTAGTTGATAAAACTGGTCTTGATCCTGGATTACGATGTATAATAAGTTCTAAATTAAAAAAGTAAATATTTAATTATAGAGAATGTATCAAATGATAGTAAAAATTACTTTGCTTTCTCAAAAATTTTAGATATGATGATAAATATAATTTAACTTTGGAATACAACGAAGGTACAAATAAATCAACAGGTTCATCAGGAGCATTAATTAGTTCTGTAGGCAATTATTTTGATAATAATGGTGTTTTATGTTATGATCGGTTTACGAATGATTTAAAAAAGATTTATGATCAAGCACGATTGAATGCTCGTAAAACGAAGTAATTTTAAATAGAGAGAGAGAAAGAGAAAAAAAAGAAAACGTATATTATTTATTGTTATTTGTCATATTATATGCTTGTAATAAACATTTTTCAAAACATCTTATAGTTTTCATTTTCTTTTTATGTTCTTTATTAAAACGATCGTAATAACGTTGTATTTTCTTGTAATGATTTTAGATAAACAAAACAAAGTAAGAAATAATAATAATATATATATATATATATATGATTAGTATGGATCAATAAATGAAAAAGTTGGATATTTACATAAGATGCCAAGAGACATCATATTACTTCAAAACTATTTGATTAATTAGATCAGATTATTTCTCTAACTGAACGTCTAAAACTTAGATGTAAAGTCAATTAAAAAGATGTATGACCCACTACGATATAATAATGATATATCTTCACAACGTTTCCGTCAAATAATCTGAGTTTTTGGTTAGTAGTAGAAGTTTATTTAGAGTTTTATTTTCATGCGGATAACGTAAAAAATATTGTTAATACTATGAAAGCAATTTGATTTGCTATCAAGTAAGAAAAATACACGTGTGGTGCATCTCATAGGCAATTTTCAGTTTTCATCTAAGAGAATAATACGAAGATGTCAAAATAAACTTTATCAACGACACTATATTAATGCATATAGAGCAAATTTTCAAACATGGAACATTAGTTTTTGCAAGAAAATTAGTGTTTTGATACTCAAATGGCTGTAATTGTCAGCTTTAATTATCGATCACAAATTTCAGCTTTTAAACTGATCAATTCTGAACACTTGCTATGTGTATTTATAAAGTTTCTTTTGATTTTTTCTTATTATTCTCTTACGAGGGAATATTTTCAACTGTCAAATCCCTTTTGAGTTTGGACTTTGTGCATAAGATAGACCCCAATGAGATATGAAAAATCCCAAAAGATTAAATCGTCTTAAGCCTTCTATCCAGAGTTACAGGCATTTTACTGGAATTTTAGCCTATGGCGCATGATATATACCGACAAATTGAATGACGGTATTTCGATCTGAGATTTTGCCCAGAGGCAGGTCTATTTATGAATGGAATGCCATGAAAATTTCAGCTCGAAAGAACGTTTCCTTCCCGAGAAATTAAAGTCCCAAAAAAACAGAAAATCCTAGCATCTTTTGTGATATATGCGTCATTTTTGGAACTTTAATATTTCGGGAAGGAAACGTTCTTTCGATCTGAAATTTTCAGGGTATTCCGCTCATAAATAGACCTGTCTGTAAGCAAAATCTCAGATCGAAATACCGTCATTCGATTTGTTCGTATATACCATGCCCTAGGCTAAAATTCCAGTAAAATGTCTATAACTCTGAACAGAAGGCCTAAGGGGATTTAATCTTTTGGGATTTTTCAAACCTCATTGGGGTCTATCTTATGCACAAAGTCCGAACTCAAAAGGGATTTGAGAGTTGAAAACGTTCCCTCGTTAAATGACAACTGAAGATTATCTATGAAATGCTACACATGTATTTTTCTTACTTGATAATGGGTGAAATTTTCTTAGTAAGTTCAAAAGTCTAAATTTGAATTAGTATTTATTTACGTTATTCATATGAAAAAAAAACTTTAAATAAACTTCTTCCACTTGAAGACATTTTTCTTTTCATCATAGTTCTAATTATAGTGTACCCTGTATAAAGTAGTATGATGTATGATTTAAAAGTTTATATTAAGACTTTTTTTTTTGAATAATATTTTTACTGTTTCAAATCATTATTGAAAGTATACTAGATAGGAAGCGCTTGTTTGTATTGATTATACTGTCTTGATCTCGTAATACAATTTAATTTTTACAGTTTATAGTCACGAAAACCGATGATCTACTTATTCTTTACCATCGATGAGAAGAGTTTAAAAGCTTTACTGCTAGAATTATTCAGAACATAAGTAAAACCAAAAACATTTAGTTCATTCAAAATATCTGACTGAGGTTATTTAATAACCGATAAAACAGATAGCTTTCCTTTAAGTTTGAAAACTAGATATATAACAATTAATAAGCTTTGTAGCCACAGCAGAGTAGAAAATAGATATCGACTTAGATTTCGCTCATAAATAGAACTCATAGTATAAATAAAAAAAAGCTTTAAAAAAAGTTCATACAATTAGTCCTAATTTCAAGAGTTATATTTATTTTACTGAATTTTTTTCATCCTATTGAAGGTTATTACGAGACAAAAAGATAACAAGAAATTTTTCAGAACAATAAGTCTTTGTTGAAAGTTTCAATTCCGATAGATGATTACTTTTTAATGCATCAGATGCTTGAAAAAACGGACTATTTTAAGAGTTTTCATATGAAAGTAATGTTTTTTTTTGTAAGCATTTTATCTTGAACGAGAAACATGGTGCTTTAATTGACTCTTTCAGGATATCAGAAAGACCTTAAGATGTTTTGTCATTGAAAAGTTTATACCGGAATTTCATTCTACTGCTTTTCCGTAATATCCAGCAGTAAAATAAGCATATCTCGGAAATAAAGGCCTAGTTGCACGAGTTTCTTTAGGACTTTTATCTACATTATGAGTTCTGTTCATGAAAAAAAATGAGCTCGAATGAAGAATATCAGTAAAATGGATTCCGGCATTAGATAAACAAATAAAATATTGTTTATCGAACAATCGTAACAGTTAAGATTGTTATTTTGAATATGGTTGCCTTTTCGCTGAGCCACTATTAGTATACATTTAGATAAAGTCATTCTCTCATGGCCTTGTTTCTTCTAAATCTCGAATGAAAAAAAAAACTTTCAAATAAAGCAACGACATCGAATGTTTGCGAGACGATTCATTACATAAAATGAAGATATGTTGAAAAAACATGTATTAAAAAAAAAGTGATGAAAATAAAATTAAAAGATAAAAGAACAAAAAAAAACAAAAATAAAAATAAAAATAAAATTCGTTAATGCTTATCGAACAGATAAATTTCGTTTATCGATACTTGTCGTAACAAGTCCAATTTTTCCATTAGATGATTCGAATAATTTTGTTTGTTGTATTATTCCATCGCCTTTTGGCATAGATGAAATTAAATTTGATTCTTTCATAGCAGTATTACGTGCTCGAATTAATGTTGGTACTGTTTTTAAACTTGAAATAAGTTTAAATGTAAGACCAATTAAACAAAATGTTTTAATAAGTATAAATGTTGAACGTGGATCCGTATGAATTTCAAATGTTTCACAAACAATCGGAACTACTGGTTTATCTTTTGTTGTTGCAAATATATTTGAAAACCAATTTATAATTGATTCAAATGTTGTATGATTTCGTGAATTCTGAATATAATCTTGTGTTCGAATAGATGCCATTGTTGGTTTTGGACATTTTGAAGCGACAAGTGCAAGTGAACGATATCCATGTCGCATCCAATAATATTCGCAATAGGCACAGATAAGGCCAATAAGAAGACAAATTATAAAGAGTTTGTTTGTCATCTGTTTTCGTTGTTTTTTTTCTGGTTTGAATCAAAATAGGAATTAGATGAATAGAAATAGAAGAAGAGAAGCTTAAAGAAAATGTTTAATCTACCTAACAACAAGATCTATCTGAAAAAGAAAAAAAAATAATGGCGCGAAATTGATTTTTTTTTTGTCTTTATAGATTATTGCTTTTTAGAAAATATGGCAACACTTAAAAAAAGAATTTTACAAAATATAAGTCAAACTGAAACAGTATCATCAATATCAGAAACAACAAATCAAGTATTTAGTACAATTAATTTATATAGAAATTCCATATTTTCTTTATATTTAGCCTCAAGAACATACAACAACAACTTTAATTCTTAATAATAAAAATCAATCAATACCTCCGTCAGCTCACAAAGTTCGTCTTGTTGAATTTAAAACAACTTATCGTCGTTTTACTGATCTTGTTAAACGTTTAAAAACATTAAAAACACTACGAGAATATAATGAAGTTCTTGTTGAATTTACTGATCGACTTATTCTCTTTCAAAATTGTATTGATGATTGTATAACGTAAATTACTTTATTTTAAGAAAACAAAAAAAAGAAAATTTTCATCTTTCATCTATTTCCTAGAATATTAATACAACATATTTTTGATGCGACTGATCCATTAATTCAAGTTGCTTTTATTAATACATTAACAGTTGTAGAACAACAATATCCAACTAGTTCAGAAAAACATATCAATGAATTACTTAATTTGGGCAAACAAACCAGTAAATCTTTTGTTCTTGGGTTTTTTTTTCGATTGAAAATTAATTTATTTGTCATTTTTCATGAATAGAATCTATTAAAGTAGCAAGTGCTTTGTTAAGTTATTTTTCTATGATACCAATATCATCATTGATTGATAAAAATGCTTTAGTTCGTTTTGCTATTCAAGTAAATTTCAATGAATTATTTCTTTGTTTGTTTTTCAAATTTTATATTTTTAGTATTCAACTAATACTCATGTTCGAGTACAATTATGCGCATTTAAATTACTGAGTACACTTGGTCGAATTACAGATCTTGAATCATCATTGCAATTATCAATTATTAATAAATTACTTCAAGCTATTGAACACGATGATGCTCGTGTTCGAGCTGAAGCTTTACGTGCAATTGTATGACATATTTTTTATGAAACACGATCTAACAGAAGTATTAAAGTAAAGAAGTAAAAACTTGGGGAATCATAGACCTGGGCATATGCTAATTAGAGACTATCACAGATCGCAATAGCCATTGGTCGGAGATTATTACAGATCGTCAAAGACGTTGATACACACCGTCGCAGATCGTATATCAATAAAGTCTCTTTATAATAAATGAACTATTTTCTTATTGCATTTCTGGAGAACTAGATAAAGGGATAGCGAAGAAGCGAGCTTCACCACAGATAGAATTAAACAATCTTTCTGTGATTAACAAGGACAGTTATATCGTGTTGCATATTTTAATCTAGCCAAAATTGCATTAACAGCTTTGTTTTTAATCATTTGTTTTGTTGAATTTAGGTAGGTTTACTTAAATGTAAAGTTGGCCTTGATTCCAAACATTATAGTTCATTTGTTGAATGTTTACAAGATTATTATGCTGAAGTACGATTAGCTGCATGTGAAGCATTGTTTCTTCTTGCTATTAATGCTCCAGATAGGTAATCTTTTATTTTTTGTATTTTTTATAAATCCATATCTTTGATATTCAAATTCGCTGTTTAGTATTGTTCCGTCGGGACTATCCAATGATGAATCATCGAAATTAATTAATGAAATATTTCGACTTATTTGTGATTTAACCAATGATGAAGCAAAAATTGTACGAATACAAGCTATGAAAATGATTGTAAATATATATATATATATTTCATATGAAATTAATAAACTAAATATTTATATCTAGGGACAATTATGTCGAAATGGTGTTGATATTAGTTTAATTCATCAAACACTTGATAAAAAACTTCTAAGAGTAAAAAAAAAAACAAACAAAGTTCATTATTTTATATATCACTTTGTTTTTATTAGATAACTAAAAAGAAAGAATTTATTGCAAAAGTTGAACAATTAGGTAGTGAAATGGATGATATAACAGTACATGATGTTACAGTTGACGTTCAATCAGCATCAATTACAGCAATAGGCCCATGTGGTGCTTTAATTAGTGGACTGGAAGATGAATATTCAGGTTAATATAAAATATCAGAATTTTTTTTTTGTATCTCTTTTGATTTCTACATAGATGTTCGTGCTGCAGCTATTGATTCTTGTTATGATATATCATGTTGTTATGATGTATTTCAATCAAAACTTGTTGAATATATTGTATCAATGTTTGATGATGATATAGAACATGTACGATTACAAGCAATGCGCATCTTAGGTAAAATAGCTCGAGGACGTGTATTAAGTGGTGAACAAGTTTTATCAATTTTGACTGAATTACTCGTATGTAAAAATTAAAAAAATTTGTTTTTAATTTGTAATGTTTTCTTTTCTCATTAAGAGTCGCTCTTATGATATTCGTTCAGCATTACATGATATTTTACGAGTAGTACGTATTGGTGATCCAGATACATTATTTAAATTATTTCATCGTCTTGTGGAAAATATTCAACGATTTAAAACAGATACTCATTCAGTTCTTAGGTTTGAAAATAATTTTTCTTTCTAATGAAATTAATTTTAAAGGTGTTGTTTGTTTTTTATTTAGATGTCTACGTGAATTAGGACAAAATAACAGTGCATTTATTGCTTTGCTTTTACCAAAATTATTACCAATGCATAGTTATTTAGATGTTCAAGAGCCTCAATTTTCAAAAATTGATCGTTAGTGTTTGAAATTGTTTTTCAGTAATTTTTTGAAAAATATTATTTTTTTTTTCGCTTTTAGATACTTGTGCTTTAATTTTGGTTCTTAATGCTGCTTTGCATCATCCATCAATTGTTTCTGTCCTTCCTGATTATGTTTTTCGACATTATAGCTATTTAAGAACAAAAGAACCAGAATTAACACCAAATCTTCAAATAGTAATATATAAAACAATCATCATAAATTTAAAAAATCTTGATTACTACATGTTATATGAGCTACAACTTTTTTTCTCTGAATATACCAAACCATCGATTAGAATAATGTAAATATGAAAAATGATGATTTATTGTTTTGGAACCAGTAGAACGAAGAATATATATGGATAAGTCAGTTTTTCGAATTCGATGATTCATTGAAATTGTTCATTATAATCTATTTCTTGATAAAATTAGATTTTAACATAAGTTTACTAAAAAGACACAGTGATCAAGATTTCTATTATACAGATATATTAATAAATTATTGTCTATTTAGAATTTTTCTCATGCTCAATTGACAAAAACATTCGATGTTGATATTTCACTTCCAGTTACAATACCTTCATCACATGATGTATTCGAACGTATTCTAAAACTTTCTGAACAAAGTCAAGATTTACATCCAAGTGATAGACAAAAATTCTATCGAAATCTTGCTGCGTATGGCTTCTTTTGTTTTCTAATTATTTTTATTTTAATATGAAAATTTTTATATTTATTCAGAGAATTACATAAAGTAGCTGAAATGGATATTGATCTATTAGCTATATCAGAATGTATATCACTCTATTATGAAGTCTTAGCTATTATTACTTATCAATGTAATACACGAAATTGTTTAAAGGTTAGATTATTTTTTTTTTTTTCAATAAGATGAATCATTCTTATTTTCTTTTCCTTTTTGTTGTTGTAGGCATTATCTATATGTAAACGTTTATTAACTGTATTCCATGGTTATTCGGAAAAACAATTATTAATATTTCAAGAATTACATTTATATTGTCATTTATTTCTTATTTCAATTCAAACAAAATTAACTACGAATGTTCGTCAAAGATGTTATAAACATATTCAATGGCAACGAGAAAAATTAAAAACTCATGATGAACAACAAAAAGATATTGATGAAAAAATTTTACATACAAATTTAATTGCTTATGCTCAACAGTATATTTCTATTATGTCAAAAAATGTTTTATCTAATAAAACAAATTTTTTTAAAGCTAATGATTCAATACGTATGGTATCTGTAAAATTTCTTGAACCAGAATCAAATATTGAACAAGTATTAGAATTTTTACCTGGTTTATCAGTATCAATATCTTGCTTAATGAATGCAAAAAATCTTGATCAACAACAACATATTAATATTAAAGTATATATCTTTGTTTATGAAATTGAAATGTTCAATAATAGAGATTTTCTTCTTGACAGGTGACTTATTTAGATGGACAATATTGTTTATTACCAATTAATGATGATAATATTCGAACATTAACTGAAGATAATTCATTACGTATTGATTCAAAAGTTACATTTTCACATCAGCATTGGCTTCGTAAGAAATTTTTTTTTCACTTTGCATAACTTATATTATGTTTTTTCGAAAAAAAAAATACAATGAGTGTAAGTTTTAAGCCGCGGTTTGATAGCTCTCCCGCATACAAATAAGTAACGAGGATGAACGCCAACGATCATTAGAAATATTTTCATAACAACTGAGGACAATAGACGTCAGATTTCTTTCCTAGAGTTTCGTAGCAAAGGACTGAATAACATTAACAAAAAGACTTAGATGGTTCTAGAACATTTCAAAGCTAGAATACGTTTATGAATGTTCTAAATAGTGAAGTTTTCGATTTTAGCTCCAATAAAAATTAACTTTCAAGATTGCAAATATAGTGAGTAGTGGTTAGAAATATGCGAAACCAAGATTTTTTCAGTTTCGGTAACTTTTTTATTCACCAATCCTGGTCTTGAGATAGCTATTCTAGAATTTATTCGTATTACATCGAAAATATTTCTTCAATAATCCTTTTTTGTTTATTTATTTAGTCAACGAGAGATATTTTTGAGGCATATCTCTTGAATTATGTTCTGATTCTTTTGATTTATAAGATGATGAGCTTAAAACTATACAATATTTTACCATAAAATTGAGTTCTAGTCTCAATAAAGCTTTAGTTATTGATCCCACACATCTCTACTAGTGATACATTGATTCACCACAATTATCACATGATTCATATAAAAAGCATAAGTTCATCAAGTTATAACTTTAAGAAACAATCAATATTAGTATTGCTAAAGTTATTGAGATATATAATAGTAAGTTGAGATCTGCTGTAGATGCAATGGATATGTATAATTAGCTTATTTGTCGGTTACATCGATGATTAAAATAATAATATGAAGAAATTAAGCAAAAAAAGGAAAGTGAATAACAAGACAACAAACAAACAATAGAATGCCAGTAAATAAAGCAGATCGTTTCACTGGCGATCAATTATCTTTGAACAAAAAAAAACATAGTCTGCTAGAGAATTTTCATCTTAAGTATTTTGTATTAGTATAATGAGGCTGAAAAACACATATCAGTTCTACGTTTTAGTCTTAAAGAGGCTTTGTTGACAACCTACTTGTTTAACTTTTTTCTCAATGAGACATTTCTTTTAAGGTCCATGTTATGCAACATTTTCTGTTGTATTATTTCCAATACGATCTCAATGTTTCGTTATGGATATAAATGATGAATTTGTTGAAATAACACGTCCAATACGTGTTTTACTTCATCCAAAATATCTTCGACATCGTTTACGTAAAAAACAAAGTATTGATGAACAAAGTACAATGTCAGCAACCACAGTTGAACAACTGGATATAGCTGATGATGATAATGATGAACATGAAACTGAATGGTTAGATGAAACTGGTGTCGATGAAGAAGAAACTGGACATATGGATGATGATGAATCTGAAATGGATACAAGTCAAGATGATGAACAAATTGAATCTGTAGAAAGACGAAAAACACTTGATAGTGATGAAGATGAAGAAATGTCTTATTAAAATCTTTGTTATTAATTATTATTTTGTCCGCGTCTCTTCTTTTTCTATATGGTTGTATATGTGTGTATTCGTGTTTTCCTTTTGTATGATCTAGAAAACAATAAAATATTTACATTTCAAGATTAAAAAAAATCTTTTCTTTGTTTTGTGTCAAAGTGTTTTTTGTTTATAAAATACATCTGCCTATAGAAATTTTTCTACTATTATAAAAAATATTTTCTACGACAAGTTTTACTCAGTTAAACGTCACAGTTTGTAGATAAGAATGAAGATTGACTAAGCGAACTTTAGTTTTAATCTTGAAATCAGACAGAGATAATAGTCAACGATTTATTACTTTTAATATTTAGCTATTAATTAAATTAATCTGTAGCCCTTGGAACAGTATTAACAGATATGTAACAAAACTAAGCATTTTGAGATTTGTGAAATACATTAAAACATAGTAGCAAATGGGGCCAATAAGTTTAATGCTTTAAGATTGAGTTTATTTATTAATTAAGAAAGTAGTTACTAAAGCAATTTCACAGATGTATCGATTCCTAGACTGTGGTTTCTAAGATAATATTTTTTAGTATTGAGAACTTATTATCCTATCAATTTTTTATAAGAGTTCTGCTCAGTTTTCATTGAACTATTGAAAACTATTATAAAAATTCATCAAACTAAAAAGCGAAGCTGAAAGCTGATCGAAATTAATGAGTTTTCAAAGACAATTTGACCAAATCATGAACAATCAGCATAAATCAATGAGTTCTCAATAATACAGATGGCTGATTTTTGAAATGAAGGTCTAGAATTGGTTGGCATTCGCTTAACCATACCCAAAAGCAATATATTTCCAATATCCACAACCGAAAATTTTCCTCAGTGGTTTATGCCAGCAGTAAACAATTTTAAATCCTTTATTCGATGATATAGTTTGATATTTTGGAATTGTTAAGCCAAGTTATGTGATTGGTTGAGTTTCCTTCCAAAATATATAAATTTCGACCAACTCTGAACCTCGTTTTTTAGATTTAATGAAATCTAATGATAATTTCGAATATTGTAATTAAAATTGAGCAGCATTGCCATTTAAAACTATGCCCATAATCAGTTTATTGTATTTCACTCAAAATGATCATCTGAAACTCTCTTGATAATTGAAAACACAATTTCTCCCATCGTTTAGATAATGTTTTACTTTGCAAATGTAGTATTCAGTTTCTAACGTAACCTCTGTTTATATTACGATTAGATCTATAGGTTGACAAGGTTCATAAAGGGTCAGACATTTCATTAAGAAAAGCATACATTCAGAGAAAGAATATACCCAATAGTTTGGCAAAGAGTTGGAACTAGTCTGACTGGCAGTAAGTCAATGAGAAACACTGCTTTCTAAAACTTAGCCAATGATTTTCAGACAACAGCTCGAAATTTTCGCAGACAAGACGTAAACAGTAGGAGACTAGTTCATCCCAGCTCTGTGCACATCGAGACCTATGCTTGTTGTGTCGGTCAACTTCATAGAAGATTGCTATACGTATATCTTCTTCTTGTTTATTTCGCTGGCAAATGTATGTGATTAATCAAAACAAAGATTAGCTTGTGATTATTTCAATTTAGATTTCTTCTCACAAAAGAATTCTTCGTATATTTGCTCAACTCTAGACTACGAAGACCTTACGGCTAGGATCATGTAACTTAAGATAGAGAAAACATATCTTCTCTACGAAAAAATTAAATGGTACAACATGTGTATGATCCGGCTTCAGATGATTAACTTTCCAAAGTGATGGTTACTGATCAATATTTAATTACTTTTCGATTTATTTAACTACAGATATTATTGAGTTATAAACTGTACGGTGTTGGTTTTCATTTCTTATTTTAATATTCATGATATATGAAAAAAATAACTTGGGTAAAACAACCAAAAGAATATATCAGCTAATCTTGCTGGTCTTGAATATCAATTTCTACAAAATGAGCTATCAAATGTTCGAGAATATATTTTCGACTTTATTTATTTTATGTTTAAGGAATCAATTTTTCAGCAGTTAAAAAATTTACTTTAAAAGTTTAACTGTCGTCTATAACAATGAATGTCAATTCAAATTTAAATTTAAGATCTATTTATAGAAAACAGACCGAGTCTTATCATTGCTAAATTATTCCTCACCACAAAGGAGATAATTTTTATGAATAAATATTTGGTTATCTTCTCGAAAAAAAGCCAATTCGCTATGAATGACGTTTATTTATTTTTACTCATTGCCTTCTCTACCTTTTTTTCTATTCGGTTTCTTTGCTTGTTTTTCTTTCTCAAACACTAATACTTCTAAAAAAAACTCGTACGTGAAAATTTACTTGAAATATTTCTATGAAAAATACATTGTTTCAATCTTTAAAAAAACAAAAAGACTTTATTAAATTTCAGATTTCAAACAAAGAAATGCCTTCAAATACCAAGAATATTCCTGAACTTTATCAATATAATATTAAACGTTTAATAATATTTATTGTTTTTGCTTTAATTCTTGTTGGTTCATGGTGCTTGTGTGGTTCACAATGTTGTACATTTAAATATGATCATTCTCTTCAAATATCAATTTGGAATCGTATTGATTTACTTGCATTTCGCTTTTTTAATCGATGGTTACTTACACATGATAATTATACATTAATTGCAAAATTATTTGTTGCACTTAATTCAATTGCTATTGGTGAAATTATTACAAATATAATTTTTATTTCAATAACATATTGGATTTTTTCATCAAAATTTGTATTTCAAAATCATAGACGTCTATTTAAAATATCTGTTTTCTTAGCTATGATTATTTATGGAATGACTGGACAAATGTTATTATCAAAACTCTCAAGAGATTATTTATGTCCAAAACGACCATCACCATCTGTTGTATTTCGCTTTTCAACTGTTAATCTTGAACGCCAAGCTATATCATCACCAACGACAAATTCTTTTACAATTGATCGTCTATTTGAAGAAGCAAAAAATCGTGATCTTGTTAAAGAAATTGCTTATGATAGGTAATTTATTATATCACGAGAATTTCAATTTCTTATGAAAATTTGAATATATTTATTCAGAACTTCATGTGTCATAGAGATTTATCATACAAAAGAATATTCAGTGTATAAAAAAATTATTAAATGTTCTCATTTGATTTCAAGGAAAAGTCAATAAATTACGTTTAAACTTAACCAAAAAAGAATAGTAGAAAAAGCAAATTAATTTTTTAGTCTATTGTGTTAAGCAAAGTAGGAAATTATTGACAAACTATGAAATGAACTAGTATTCTAATCTAATATCTCATTATGATTATTTCCATAAAAATAGAATTTTCTATTTCAAACCACTACATTACACTGATTAAAATATACGAAGTACTTTTTCTTTGCGTGCATCTTTTATGCAAGGAAAGTTAACTTCCCTTATATGAATGATGCATGCAAAGAAAAGGAATGCTCCTTGTATTTTAATAAGCGGGATATATTTAGAGTAACATTCTCATATTCTAATATAATATTTCAAATTCTATGAAGTATTAGGTGATATATATTGAAAAACGTCTTCCGGAATTTTCACTTGATTTAATCAAACGGATATATGCATACATTCGTTATTTTCACTTTAGTTGGCCAGGTGAACATACAGCAACAAATATCATTTGGTCTTTATTCATGTCAACTATTATTAATCGTTCATCAAAATCATTATCACGAACAAAACGTTTTTTCATGCATACAAGCGTATGGTTTTTCGCTATTCTATTTTCAGTTGCACGTTTGGTTAGTGGCGCGCATTGGTTATCAGATTGTATTGCTGGTGGACTCAGTGAAGCATTAATAGTTGTAGCTATTGGAATATACACACCAATATTTCAATGTATTACAAGAATCATTTATTGGTTAATCAACAGATCAAATACAAATGAAAAAAAACTTCCTTAAATTTTCTTCTCTTTGTTGTATAAAAACTAGAGCTTGGATTTAAAACAAAGAATGCAATAGAATGAATGCACTTATTATTCAAACATCAAGTACCTCAATATATAACATAATATTTTCACTATCATTAAAGAGTAAAATTATAAATATACGGGAAAACATGCAAAGCACTTGGTTTTATCTTATATAAAATATTTGTGAGAAAAGAAATAATGAGTTTCTAACATTCAGTAATTAAAATTAATGACCTTGATTCGGAAAATCTATATAAAGACTACTTGATGCTATAGAAAACATTAATAAATAAAGACTATAAAAATTAATCATTTATAGAATGAATATTATATTGTATTAAACTTTATAACTTTTTTCATATTATATATAAATTCATTAATCATTAAAGCAACAAAATTAATAAATAAATGTTATATACATCATATATTACGTATCAACACCCTCATATAAATAAACGGTATCTTTTCATTATTGTGTACTTTCTCGAGAAATTTTTTCTTTTCTTTATCAATGATATATAAAACAATGCATTCTCATGATAGATTGATTCATTCTTCGTTTTATATCGAATGATAAATACTTTGATGAAATGCGGCATCAACTACTTAATCGATAGGAAGTCTGATTAAACGACATTTTTTTTTTGTTTTAGATAAATATCGAACAAACAAATAGTTCTTCTTTTCTTTTTCTATGTATAGAAATATAAATATGCTCTTTTGCAATTCCGATTAGTTGATTCGAAGATGTACAATCTGTTAGAATCATTAGAAAAACGATTGATGATCCGTCGTTTCATGTGTCATTGTAAGAGAAAAAAAAAAGGAAGACAATTGTTCTATTGATTGGCGGAACAGCAAATCAATATCATTAAATAGAAAAGAAAACAGCTAAAACAGTATCTCATTTTACACATATTCGCTAACTGAAACATTATTATTATTTTTTGTTTAAATGAATACTGATAATACACGTCGACGACGTCGAATGTCTTCAACAACACCAAGTAATAAATTGTCATCTAATGTAAAATGGATTAAACCTCGTTATTTAGCAAATCAACGTGAACGTGATCGCACACATTCAGTTAATTCAGCATTTGTTGAATTACGTCATCTTATTCCAACTGAACCAGCCGATAGAAAATTATCAAAAATTGAAACACTTCGTCTTGCTGTTAGTTATATAAATCATCTTCATTGTGTACTTAGCTTACCTAATATAACACAAAACCATTGTGCTTTTATTAATATGAGAAATAGTGAAAATAATCATGATGATAATAATGAACAACACTTATGTACATTTTGTGTTAATCATTCATCAGTATCAAATTAAATTATTATTACACCTATATCAATGAACAAAAACTTGAAGATGAAAATAATTAATATTTGTATGCCTTAAATCTACCGAAAAAAAAAATCATATGACAATTTCTTTTTGCTTCATAAGAAAGTTCATAAGTTGTACATATAGATCAAATTATTAACACTTTGTTTTTTTTCTCATCTTTATTAGTAAACTTTATAGATAGAACAAAAAAAAACAAAAGATCATTTTCTTTGCATGTTTTACGAGTGGCGTGCTGAATATAAATGAATAAAAAAGAAAGGATATTAACTTTTTTTTTCATTAACACAATCAATAAAGAGATCAAGATTCTGGCGATATCATTAAATATAATCCAAGTAATTATATCGCCGTAAGCATTGTTAAAATTTTATGAATTAGAAATTTTATTAAGTACAACATTTGTTGATTGATCATAATTTGATGTTACAGTGAATTTTCGGCATGTTATTGTTTGAATAAATTCAGCACGAAATATTCGACTAGTTAAACAATATAAATAAAAATTTGAAGCAAAATGAATATACATAAGAGCACGAAGCATACGAAATACAAATGTAAAAAAGGCATTGTCTTGTGCAGAATTTTGATTTTTTGTAGTATGTTGTTCAAGTAAAATAAGATATATTGTTACAGGTAATGTTGTAAAAAGAAATACAATAACACAAGCTGCCATCATTAATGACATTTGTCTTTCCATAGCTTTTCGATGTGTTATAAATGATTTTTGAATCGGTAAAATACCATTTAATGTTTGTTGAATATTTATTTGTGTAGGTTTTTTCTGTGATCCATAATTATTTGAATTTTCTAACTGATGCAATTGTTTTTTACGAAGATAAATGATATTTACATTACATAATATCATAATACAAGCAGGTAAAAAACAAAAAATAATCATATCAATTTTTGGCCAAATTATTTTATAAAAATAATAATATTTTGGATATGACTCACGATTTTCTAAACAATGTGCTGTACGATTTTCAATAGGCTCTTGTCCAATACCAGGTGAAAAATAATGTCCATTTATACCACATAAAATAAGAAAAAATATTAATATCGTTATAAATGCATTACGTGGTGTACAAATATTTTTTGAATTTATAGGTAATCGAATACGTAAATATCTATCAAATGCTAAACCTGCTAGACACCACGATGATAAATCCATGAAAACATAAGCAAAAAATGTGCGAAAACGACATGCTAATGCTGAATAATTTTGTAGCTGAATTGAAAAGGCATCAGCCAGAAAAAACCATAATGATGTTATAAGTGCAACACTATCACTTATTGATAATGTAAGAAGAAATACGCTACTTGAAATTTGACGCATACGTCGACTAGAAAATGTCATAAGAGCAAATGTATTACCAAGAAAACCCAATATATAAATTATTGAATAGATAATTGTTCCAATACGATCACCCAATACGTTGTAATTAGTAGACGCTGTTGTTAGTATGGATGAAGCATTTACGATACGATCTAAGTAATTGTTTGCATTTGCCATTTGTTTAGTAATGAAATGACAACTATATGAGAGAGAGACGAGACATTCTTTTTTAAAGATATAGAACGAGAAACGGGAACAAGTTCATTTTTTTTTCAAAAAGTCAACTTGTCCTTAAGCTCATTTGCCTAAAGTGAGAAAAGAATAAATGAATTCACGAAAAAAAATTATCTTCATTAGAAAACAAAGATCTTTTCTAATGCTCACAAAATCTTCTTTTTTGCTTGTTCAACATTATCAAAAATAAATACAATTTTTTTATTGACATGCATAACTCAGATTTTGTAGGTTTTTACTCATAGTTATTGCTTACTTTAATATTAACTGTTCTTCTATATTATTAGTGCTAATCTTGTCTATGTAAGTAAAAGAAGAATATAAAAAAAAGTATGTTCTATTAAAGACAAGGATTTGCTTTTCTTCAAGTGTTCATTAATACACAGGTGATCATGAAAGAAAGTCTATCTTATTTACAGGTTGTTTTTCAACTTCTTCTGACAATAATGTCATTTTTAATGAATCTGTATGAGATGATGGATCGGTTTTATTCTTTTTTGGTGACGATGCTGAAGATGTCCGGTAATTTGGTGCACGTTTTTGTGGTAATGGTAAATATACGTATTCACCATTCGGTAAAGTAATATTAATAATATATGCTGATGTAGGATCTGTTATAATATGTGATGATGATGTATCTGATTGATTTGGAGAACAAGTTTTAGGTGATTCAACAACAAAAGATGGTACTGATGACAATGGTATCGATATTTCGTGACAACTAGCTGAACGACCACAAGGCCTTAATAAATTAGGTTTCTCGTTTTGAGTAAAATATGGTCGAATCCAAGACGTTGTTTCTGATGTTGTATACCGTTGTAAATCGTTTTTGTTAATGTGTGAAAATGGGAATTTCCTTGATAATGGATTACCAACCTATAGAGAAAAAGGAGGATGAAAACAAAGAAATGTTGATGAAATCAAAAACAAAAACGGAAATGTACTTTGCATGTTTCATGATAGGTAGCTTCATAGTGCTTTTCATTTCTATATATATATATATTAAGATTAAAATAGGCATATGAAAAAGAAATAAATTAAAAGAACAATTAGTTTCAAGCTTAATTACAGTACCCATTTGTAATAATCAGAAAATTTTTCTGTAACTGTTATTATGAACAAAGAAAAACAATAACATTTACCAAGTGTATTTATAATTAATATTTAATATTTATGCAAAATAAAATAAAAAATTGCATCCTTTTTTTTATAATTATTTAAAAAACAAAAACAAAATAGAGAGTTACAATTTTCATTCATAAGAAAGTGCTGTGTATTGTTTATTTAAATTATAAAATAAGTTCAATATTGAAAAAAACAACCGAAAAAATTCTTCAATACCTTCTGTGCAAATTAGCATGATATCGATAAACTTAATTCTCACTTCATACATATTTTCTGGAAATAATATTTGACATGTTTTCTTCAATAATAGAAAATGATGATAATGTATGATAAAACAACTGCTTAATTATCATTCCCTATTTATTTATTGTATCTCTTGAGTTTAAAAAAACGTTTTCTATGAGAATGAAAAAGTAAGCGGTTCTGAAGGATGATATAGAATTAAATAAAGTACTCGATTATTTAAAAAAAAAAGATAGAAAAATACAATGGTTATTAATAAATTTTTTTTTTTATCATTAATACATGCATCGAGGCAATCGAGTATTGTAAAATTATTTATGCGTATGTAATATAACTATATCCGTAGGCTCGTTTTAGCCATTTTTCTTATATAAAGACCCACTAACTGTTTCATTAAAAAAACCTTGAGCAATCCTTTAAGTGCTAATTATAAAATACGGGAAATTGAATTCAACAAAAAATAATTTAAAAAAACAAAAACCTACTGGTATTATATTCATATAAGGGTCTTTCCCTCGATGATCGTGATGATTGTAATATTTTTTATATGTTTTTAGTTTTGCTAAATGATGCGAATCATTGTTTGCATTACATCTTTCTATTGTATGACGATCTTCATATTTACTTTCAATTAAAAAACATAAAACACTTTTAGCATGTAAACGAAAACGTCGACTTATTAATATACATATAAAACACTTATATGCATATGATAAAGTTATGAAAGATTGGGCTTCATGATTAAAGGTTATTAAATATTTATAAGGTGCTACATATGCTGCTGAAGATAATATTAGAAGATCACTTAAGCGTGCCGGTAAATTAAATAATGCATGTACAATACCAATTGTTCCAGCTATGTAATAAAATGAAGTACACTCTTTATTCGTATATGTATTATTTCGACATGTACGATAAATAATTATTATTGATATAACAAGTATTATAACACAAGGTATGGCAACACCAAGTAAGTGATAGCCATAATTTGTTACATTTAATAATCGTCTACTTTTACCATCTAACTGAGTTGAACACACACCTGGAACACCTTCTACTTATCAAAAGAAAAGTTTAAAAAGAAATTTTTTTCTTAATATTTATTTTTACCTGGTTGATAATCTTCTATATCTTCTTTTTTTTTATATTTAAGAACTTCAATTGGATATATATTGTAAACGCTAAAAATAAATATAAGAAAAACAGTTGAATATTTTGCATTAACATAATATAAACCACGATTCCAGCATGAACGATTTTGATGATCATTATTATATTCCATGGTAAGGATAAGTTGATTGATAATCAAAAATAATAATAACCATGTTGATAAAAGAACACTCATTTTAGCAATATAAGTAAAAAATTTACAACAAAAATCTGATACATGTATAAGATGATGTTGACCAGTTGATCGATCTTCATGTATATAACTTAAAAAATTGTCAACAAAGTGATAAATTATTAAAAGTGTATCAATAAAAACAATTTCAAATAGAAATCTTTCAAATGAACCTGTTGATTTTATTTTTGTAAATGATAAACGTGATAAAATACTTTGACGTCTACTGAATAAACCAATACGCATAAGTATTACTAATAGAAGTATATTGGACGGTAGACCAAGTAATGCTGAACATACAGCAAAAAAAACATATTTATGATAGTGCATTTCGAGAAATGAATCATATACGGAACCATTTGTTTCATTAATATCAAATAAATATCTTGATGTATTATTATTCATTACGTTTGTAAACATCTACTAAGATAAAAATACACATCCCACGAAAGCAAGAAAAAGCAATCAAAAAAAAAACAAAAGTAAGCATATATTACATTTATTAAAGTGCGTTAAAAGGTCGGATGCAATTTTTCTATGATATTATTTGTCATGCAAAGCTCTTGCTTGTTTAAAACTGATTTTATAGTAAGATCTTAACATATTTCAATGTAACTTTTTTCCTTTCTTCACTTATTTTTTTCTCCTTATACTTCCTTGACAGATAAAAACAATAAAGAAAAACGCATTAAATGTGTACTTTTTATTATTTGAAAAAGAAAAAAAAACATTGTTTTTGAAACAGAAAGCAAATCTCAAAACGAGAATGTCCACAAACTTGATTTTTACAAAAATGAAAATCGGTTTTTCTTCTAGGGTAAAAAGCAAATATGTTAGTGCGTTATAACATTCTCTCCTTTAACTGAGTTACTGATCAAAATAACGAGAATGTTGCTATAGTTAGAATGGTACGACTGAGTTTCATCGAATAATGCTACACCATCACTAATTATTAGCATGATTTAACTAGCATTTTCCTTTTCTTTTCATGCTATGCGAACTATAGAAGAATTACTTGTCATTCATATGAAGCGCATACATGCTGTTTGAAAAGCAGATGTAGTATGTGTATATGGAGAAAATAAAATACTCTTGTTTGTTTTTTTATAAGAAAGAAAAACGAAAGGAGGTTTAGAGGAAAAATCAAGTACATTCATGTGATCGAGTTTCAATTAATTAGATGGAAATTTCAGTATACTTCTCTTTGCTTTGATGATAATAGCGTTACAAATTAGCACTAACAGGATTCTTCTCATTTTTTTATTCAAAGCGATTAGAACTTCTTTTCCTTAGAATATGTACTCACAAAATTAGTCAAAGCGAAAACTGCATCTAAATGACAAAGAATGAAAGAAGTGATGTCTATTTTCGGTTTTATTTTTCGCATAATGATTAAAAGTGTCGGCTATTAAATCCAACATTTCTTTTCTTTTCCAACAAACTACTTCTAGTTATAATGTATGCTTCGTAAACAAAAAAAAAGAATCATTTCTTTTTTCCGACTATGTACTTCAAACAAATAAGAAAACCCGTTATGATCTTGCTAATAAAAGAGAATTTTTTTCTCTTTCAGTTACCGCTGACAGTTGTCATCATTAAAAAAGAAAAATATCTTAGTCTCAGAGTAACTTGAATGCAATTTTAATTATGCTATCATAGTTCCTATTCTTTATTATCAACCGACTTAAGAAAAAATAAAAGAAAAAAAACGAGCATATTTTGATTGTCACAAATATTAGTCTTTTTTCTTCTCTGTGTTTTCTTTCGCATTGTTCTTACAAATTATCATGTCTTTTAGTATTGGCATTCGCACATGCTGCTTTTGTTCCTTGACATTGTCCACTCAAATAACATTAATATTTATGAGATTGTATAAAATACAAAGAGAGTTTTTTTTTTGTTTTTCTTTTTATTAATGTACGACAGTAAATCAAAAACAACATCGATAACCATTGAAAATAAGAATCATGTTTAACTCAAAATGATATATTCAATAGAGACAGTTATTTTGATCGAAATTGTTATTGTGGAACTAATTAAAAAAGATTTTTGGGTATATATATATATAATATATATTCTTATTTTCTTATTGGTTGATCAAAGAATGTTTTTAAACTTTTATTTTCTATTAAAATACAAAAATGAAGTGCCACTAACTTCAATTTCAAAATATATTTGTACTTACAAAATGACAACGTCAGGTTGTTAAAAATAATGTTAGGAAAAAAATGATGTCGTGACTTAGATATAAAATGAAAGGACTGCGCAAATTAATATGTGACTATAGTTCTAAATTCTATATTATCAAAAAAGAATTATTAATGATTTAAAACGTGATAATTCTCACGAAAGATGACTATACCAAAATTAGTACTACAATATAGAGTAAAAAATATTCATTGTGTGCATTCTGTTCTTTTATCATTATTAATAGAAATATGAAGAAAGTTATTTTTAACACTAAAAAGTTTCACAGAAAATTAATGCTTTCTATTAACTTTAAAAAACTTTTTTTTTGAATAAGGAAAAAATTTATTTTCATTGTATAAAAATAATAGATAAAATTATTTGTATTACTTCTTAACAATCAAAACGTTTAACAATAGCTAATCCCAAAGAGACTTAAATTATAGAAACACAATCTTATTTACATATAATTCTTCTTTATAAAGAAAATAAGAGAAAATTGCAAAATTCTTTATTTTGTTTATTGAATGTTATGAATTCATCTTTCAAATTAAAATAAATAATCTTGAATTGCCTTTGCGTGCAAGATGTGCATCAATGAAATATTTCTAACAAAAAAAAAAAAAAGAAAATGATTTTATACAATGAATAAAGATGGAAAAATATAGTTATTAATCTCCGTCTGCAAAATAAGTGATCATGCTATAGGCTGAGATTAGCACTGTGTAAAATAAATGAAAAAAAAAGTACTTTTTCTTTGTAGGAAGAATTCGTGTACATTATTTCGTAAGTAAAGAGGCATATTCATAATATTTTATGCAAATGAAAATAAATCATTCATATAAATTTCTTATTAATATTATTGATAATTTGTTCTGTAAGACACTGATATTGGAAATTCTTTTCTGCAAACTAAATCAATCATAAGTTGTTTTTTGACTATTCACATTTTATAGCATAAAAATGACTGACAGCATGAAAGATTAATTCAATATGGAAATATCTGCTAATTCTTGACATCAAAAATAGATGACAAGATATTAATGACACTAAGTAACTTTCTTGTTTCAATGTTAAAAGCAGAACCTACTACTAATATCATCGTTGATTATCAAGCACCTTGACATGCTCATCTGAAATTAATGAATAAACTAAAAAGATTTTTTAGTATTTCAAAAAAAAATTGCTATAGAATATACTTGAACAGTTTGTCATTAAACAAAGAAAAAAAAACTCCATTTATTATATATACTTAGAGATGAAGACAATCTTAACCGTATCTAGTAATCATTGAAATGCTTTCTTATAATACTTTTTAATTGTATTAACGGTTGTCACGTTGAACTTAAAACAATGTAATGTTACTGTTTGATATCGGTGGTGTTAATGTGTCAAAGAAATGTCGGAGACGATACTTCTTCACACAACAAGGATTTTCAAAAGCTTTCCTCGATCAAATGAAGAACTCTTAAGAGCAGAAAAATATTTTCACATAGTAAACAGGAATGTTGTACACTGCTCTATGCTTCAATGAATCTAACTTGAATAAAAATGGAATTACTAGATCCTGTCTTGAAAATTTCAATATTCAAGAGAATCTCTTGTGTAAAAATAATTTGCAATGACTTTCAAAATAAAAAAGAAAAAGGTCATTAGCTACAATCTCTTGACTTTCGCGAGGATGATACCAGGAAAACAAACGTCACATAAAAGTTAGTTTATATTCTTTCTATTTACATCCTTATAAAATCTTGGATTCAAGGTACTTCCCTCTTTTTTGATCGGTTTTGCTCCATGAAGACGCTACAGATGATCACGGTGAAATCTTTACTATAAAAACAACACCTAAATTAAGGCGACACATGCTCAAGGAAAAAATTTCAGAGTCAGTTTTCCAGATCATATCTGACAAGTAGTTTTGAACTTTCTCGGAAGTTTCTTTTATGAGAAAAATACGTAAAGATTTGAAATCAAACTCAGAGATTTGGTTTTTAGAATTTCATAAATTCGAACACGAAGGTCAAAAGCAAAAAACAGCTGATTATACATCTAGAGAATACTCCTGAGTATCTGTTTAAAGGCATCAGTCTGATCAATTATTCCCTTTTTGCTAATCTGAAATGTGATTAAAAAAAAAAGAGAAGAGTTTAATCTCGGGAAAGCTTGAACACATATAACTAACATAACATAAGTAATTAACATATGTTGCGTACCAACTAATCTATTCAAAGATTATGATTATCATTGATTAAATCAGTCCTTTATTCTCTGAAATTTGAGGAGGGGTTTCTTTTCTTTTGTTTCTATCATTTCTTACCATCGTCTTACCATTACGATAAATCTTTTAGATTTTTCTAATTAGACAGAATGTTTCCAGTTGGTTTTTTAAAATGTAGGTACAAAGTTTAAGAATATAGTTTTGAATTATTATTTCTGAAAAATTTGGTAAGAACTTATCTGTACTGAATGGATTACATACTGATTTAATTCAACAACCAGTTTGGGCTTTATATCTAGAATATTAAAAAAAAAAGTTGATTGCCAATTATAAAATCAACAATATTTATTTGACTAGAAACCAACGTTTAGTTTTATTCTATTTATTATGTCAATAAATAGATAATAGCATAGTAAAAAGCCTTTATTAATTTCCGTTGATGTGATTGAGAATGAGTTCGAGTAAAAAATCTATTTACTCACGATATGTCAGCAATAAATACCATAAGTATTAATAGAAGATTGTTTTCGAGAAAATCACGTATTTCCTACTCCATTTCATATATTACAATTAATCATTTTATTCAATCTCTTGCTTCTGATCTGTCATCACAAAACATAGCATCATACATTTTCCATAGTCGTGATAACTATTTAATTAACTTCTTCTTTCTTGGCAAGATTGTGCTTAATAAATAGTTTCATTGATTAAGCGATTATTACAAAATCCAATTGCTCATCATTGGAAGAATCTTTGTAATGATTCTTTTTAATAGAAAAAAATGAAATCATTTAATCTAATCAAAATTTTTATTAATGCTTCAATTGAAATACAATATGAAAATTAATCAATATTTCCTTGTAGATCTAAGGGACAGTCACAGATACTATTAAATTATCTTGATAGTTTATTTATCATATTGATATGATTTATTATTGCACAGTCAGTCGAGTTTTTTCTTTGTTCATCATCATCAATCAAACCAAACAATCAGGGAGGA